CTCAATTTTCCACTGCTGACGTATGGTTAAAGTCAATGTAAAAACAAGATCAGCTTTCAAAGCAAATATGTAAGTGATTGCAGTATTCAGCAGAATAGTTTGTGCCAGATGTAGCAGTCCTCAGAACTGTATGTTCAACAGCTGATACAGTCAAACTGGGAACGAGAGTATCGCTCTGAAGATGTGCTCTGAATTTCGGCATCACACAACACTCTGTGCACTGACTGCATGCAGTCAGGTACCTAGGAACAATGTTCATGGTTGATGCATTTTCTTAAGACAAGATTATTAAAAAACAAAAAAAAAAGACACAACAGATTGATCAAATTATGGTGAAATTCCAAAGCCTATTATAGAACAAGGAATGGATATTCTGGCCTTACACTGCAGTGAACACAAGAGGTAATCAGTAATTTAATCAGTCTCTGGAAAGCAGAATAAGATGTGTTGTATGTGCCTATCAGAAAAATAAATTAACTCCTTGCTGACTGACACAAAATCAATGATTGCTAAAAAAAAGAAAAGAACAGGCCCCCAGATAGTGCATCATAATAGCAGTCACAAATAGATTGTATTGTATATGTGAAAATCCTAACTCAATATGAAATGACTGAGTTTTTTTTCCCTTTGATTGGAAAAGTCTTTTAGGGTTTTTGTGAAATAATATCAGGGGTCATTTTGGCCTCAGTTCTGTCATCTGTTTTGTTTTTGTTTTAACTAAGATACATGAGTGCCAAGATCAAATTAAAGAAAAAAAAAAGCTCATTACCTCCTTGGGTTCATTAATGAGCTGAAAGCCGGTGATGTGCATATATTTAATCAACGGTAATTATAATTTAGAAGAGCTCCTGCACCATCATGAGATATTCCAGAGTATGAAGCAGCCCCAGATTCACCCAGAGAAATGAAGTCAGACATCAGCGGCTTAAGGAAACAGTTGTCTGCCGTTGCAGCTCGTTTGATGAGCGGGCTCTCTTCGGTTATCAGCAATTTTTTGTTTCTTTTTTTGGTTTGTCTTTGCTGAAGTCCACAGGAGCCCAGGTGCAAGTGGCAGGCGACATGTTGCCCAATTCGACGGAGCGGGCGGTGACCATCTCGGGCACCCCCGATGCCATTATCCAGTGCGTGAAGCAGATCTGCGTGGTCATGCTCGAGGTAAGCGGTGGCCGAGAGCATCCGCTCGCGCCAGGGGATGTTCAAAACCAGCATTTCCCCCGACACTTCCCGTGTCCCGGGTGCCTCAAGGGTGCTCCATCACCTTGGCATGTCCAGGATGTCAGGGGTTCTGGCCCTGCCCAGCGGCTTCAAGCACCTTGTGCCTCTCTGAGCAGGCTTTAGGAATCACAAATGGGGCTGTTGGGACATTGTCCAAAACAAAGCAAAAAAATTCTATATTCTCCTGAGTCTCCAGAGTGGAATTCTAGTCCATTCTGAGAGGCATTTTCTTTTGATGCAGATTAGAGCAAAAAACAACTAGCTCTTCATTCAAACAGAAATAACTCTGAATAGCATCATTCAAATTGTATTAGGACTGTTTTCTAAGGATCACAACGTTGCATAAGGCCAGAATGTTTCATTTTGACTCTTTTTTTTTTTTAGCTGTTAGATTCAATTATATAAATTCATTTATATAAAAGCTTGGGCATTTTAATCCTGAGATTGCTGAAAATGCCTTTACTTCTATACAAGTATGCGTCTCATAATGATAAAGTTGAATAGCAATTTGAAAGAAAACAAATCTCAGCAAATCAAAATGAAATGTTTTGACCTACTAAGCATATTTTTTGACATAGCACATGAAGCATCTCCATTTTTATCATGTTTTCTGATGGAAAATTTTCCATGTTTCTTTTTGTTGTTGTTTTTTAAACCAAGCCTAGTCAAGAGCTGTCTCCTTGGGGTGTATGGCACTCTGCTTTTCATCCTTCCTCGGGAGGGAGGAGAAGCAACAAGGTGTCTATGGGCTGTGCAGAAGCATGCCATGCCTCCAAATGACATCAAAATGACATACCGCCTTATGCAAATAGATGCCTAAAAAATAATCAAGTTCCCATTGTTTTCCTGGGGAAAAAAATGACTCTTCCTTCAGTTTTTGATGGACTGATGTGAGGAAAGGATTTCCTTATAGAAGGCAAGAAAAAGGACAGATATTGGAAAATAGCTTTAGTTTACTGGAGAACATAATGGGCACCAGCTTTGTGAATAGACTGTGCAGTCTAATGTGCAAGTGGCATTCCCAGGAGAGAGAAGCCACTTCTCAAAATCAGAGATACAATCATAATTTTCTGCGGACAGAAAATTATTTCTGTTTTTTAGCGTAGCCAGTTTTGACATAACAATTACTTAATTTCAGAGTTAGGCAATTCACACGTAACACTCTTCAAGAAGATCCTGGTTTCTCTATAAAGAATTAAGAAAATGAATGTGTTCCAATTGGTATGTGTTCATTTTAGCAGTGAACACGTTCATTGCAATGAAATAGATAATGCAATGGTTTAAGTGATGGAAGTGTTACTGTTGCTATCTTTTTAAATTGCAGTTAATGCATTGAGATCAGGGCAGCATTCAGAAGCCTGTTTTGCAGACATATGCTCCCGCTTCATTTATCAGGAGAGAGTCAGCCTTAGTCAGGTAGTTTCTCAGAGTCCTGACCTGGGACTTCAGGGAATAAATTCCCCTTGTGTTTGCTGCAAAGCTCCTAGTCGTGTTCCCACTGAAGCTGGAGGGAATTTTCACCAAATGGGTCGAATGGAAGGTCGGATGAGGCCATTAAGGTACAACTGAGCAGTCAGCTTAACGGAGTTGACAAAATGAGATGTGTAGCACTGTATGAAAGCTCAGGAAACCGAGCGTGTTCTGTATTAACAAAGAACATAGGGCAGGTCCTTCCAAAAAACCAACACATTTTAAACTTGTGTCGCCCCAAATATTTCGAAACGCTTAATGAAGCTTTGTAGCTTCGTCAGACCATTGTGGAAGTGAAGCCCTAAGTGCCAGCCCTGCCTCGGTCAGCTGTGCTGGCGTGACTGTGGCGTGCGCCCACAAAAGCAAGGACCACCGGTCTTGGTTGTGGTGGAGGGGACGGGTAGGACAGGGATGAGCTTAGCTGCGTGCATTGGATTTGGAGGTGACCACAGTAAGGAGAGGTTTTTATACGAGCTCTGCCTCATTCTGCATTTTGACCACTCTGTGTTTCTGTCTGCAGTCCCCACCCAAAGGTGCCACCATCCCCTACCGTCCCAAACCTGCCTCTGCACCTATCATTTTTGCAGGTGGCCAGGTAAGAGCAGACACCATTTTGACTTCAGCTGGAAACCACACCGTCTTGGCCCAACCTCAGCCGGCGCCTGTTAGTTTTCAACTTTTACTCTTTTTTTTGCCTGGTATAGTATTGATGTGCTTCATCTACTCTGTGTGTTTATGGCCTGCAAAAAAGGAGAAAACTGCATTACAAACTTAAAGATTAAGATGTTAGTGGGGAGCTTTTAATACATAGTCTGAAGAAGCATGGCAAGTAATTACTTCAGTATATGCTCTGGGAACTTCTCTATAAGAAAGAGCGTTTTCTTTTGTGGTTGTTATGGCTAGGCAGGGAAAAGAAAGCATTACTGTTTCCTAGTAGATGCCAGAAGAGTGTCATCCAGCATGAGGAGCAGGCATTCTCCTTGCTTCTCTCTCAGTGCGGCAGACTCACTCTCGTCAGCCTTGTGCAATGAGCAGTAGCACAAGACAGCACTGTGAGGCCTGGT